AGCCATGGAATCGAGCTTTTTCACCAGTTTTTTTTGACCCAAACATCCAGCACCGTTCTTTTTTCACCAACACGGTGAAACTCACCAACTCACCCACCTTTCAATCGGGGCGCCTCCGATTGTCCAGGCGCGACGCGTCGAGGCCGCTAAGCCTCCCCCACCACCGGCAGCGCCGTGGTTCGGGAGGCGCCGGGCGTTCCGGGAGCGGAAACAGACGTCGCCGGGGGTCGGTTCTAGGCTGGTTGAGCCTTCGAACGACGCGCAACAAAGAGTGAACAGAACCATGTGAAGCGGTGCAATCTGAAGTCCCAAAGATCGCCAGACCCTTGTGGTGCGCTAGACCGAAATGGGTTGCTTGGATGACCGAAATGGGTGGACCTTAGCGGACCTTGGTGGATAGATCCTGGAACTGCAAGGGTCACCGAAATGGGTGAATCAAGATATCACCTGGAAATTTCCAGGTGCACCTTGAATTAGGGTCACCTTGAATGGGTGCAATTTCCTCAAGATCCAGAAATTCGTCTTCTTGCAGAGTCGAAGAGGTTTACTTAGGGTCTGTCCTATTGCCTGTAGAGCCGTCGGTCAATAAGAACATCACTATTTTAGAGAAAGGCCTTAGCTAACCATCATCCGCTGGGCACCCGGTAATGGGATAAGATCTACTCAATGTGTGATGAGGCATCCTTTGCAACTCTCACCATCGGTGGCAGTGTGTGCGAGCAAGCGGTTTTTGTGGCCAGAAGCACACCTACTTTGGGGTCCCAACTAGATGGGATTCCCCAAATTCCCATCCACCGAGTCGGACAGATCCATACAAAGAAGTCCATAAGATGTCCATCTCAGGAGCGCGGACAGCTTTTTCGTGATCCGAGTCGGACCGACGCCCTGTAGCGAGCTGACCGCATGGATGGGGCCTTCCTCGGCCGGCTGGACCGTGTTCGGGGGGCGGGTCAACGTTCCCATCCACCGGGGCCACGTAGAGATGGGTGCTTTATACAGTGCATGAAAATGGGGAGACCTCCCAGTTCGACCGCCCTGGAAGAAGAGAAATAGACTTGTCCCAAACCTTTTGATACCAGTGCGTTCCCTCAACGCACCAGCAGAGAACCAGGGTGATATTCTTTAAAGCATTTCTGAATTTCTTGGGTAGTTTCCCGGGTTTCTCCTTTGGGTTGTAGCAACCCCCACCGGTTCTGTCGCTGGTTGGCACCATCTGACACGGCCTCCGTCTGCAGGGCGAGTTCCAAAAGCACCTCGAATGCAGAACGCATGGGGAGCGTCCTTCGTGGCCCGCGACGGATTCCTTGGTCGTTGCTCGGTCCCTTTCTTTCAAAAAACTACAAACTACAATGGAAACTAATAGCGATGGCCTCCAACCGATCAGCTTCTTGTAACTAGTAGTAATGGCCTCCACCCTAGAAGCGATGGCCTCCACCCTAGTCGTGATCCAACATGGACTCATTGGAACCCCACGAATAGGCCATTTTCAACTTCCATGATTGTTGGAGGGAGGGTAGTACGATGATCATTTGTCAAGGTTGGCCTGTTATTTGTCAAGGGAAGGATTCTCTGGTCGTCCAAATCGTACAGGCCAAGCTTAACAAATGATCATTGGCAGCCTCTGACAGGCTCAGCTTTGAGTCGTGACAAGTATTTGTGTAAACGAGAACACAGGATACACAAACCTACTCTTGTGCACCTTGCCCACGTGGGATTGTATTTTATTGGGGGGCTTGAAGCATATCTCAGAAACGCGGTCCGGCAAAAGTCCAGTTCAAAACACGAAGTTAATGTGAACTACAGAGACTTTTCGCCAGTCACACCTCTGAGTGAGGTCAAGAAGAAGAAGAAGAAGAAGAAGAAGAAGAAGAAGAAGAAGAAGAAGCGGAAACCAAAGAGCATTCGGTTTGTGGTTCAACATCTTCTGAAACATGGGGCATTTGATTGAATCTCAGTTGAATATTGGAAGTGCAGATGCAGAGGAGGTTTCGGGTCACTGCAATTCGCTGAATAATTTTGGGAGACTGGAGAGGTCGGTTTCGACGATCCAAGCCACGGTGGTTCTCGGTGGGTTCAGTCGACAGTGGATTTCTATAAGTGGCAACTCTAGGAACAGAAGACGATTCAGAAACTACAAGGTGTCCCGATTCAGAAACTCACCCGATTCAGAAACCTAGTTTCCGAATCCGGGGCCACCTTAGTTTCCAAATCCGCGGTTCTAGTTTCCGAATCCGCCGTTGACCCAACCTAGTGATAGTGGATCCCATATGGTGATGGGTAAAAACCCGGAGCCCTGGTCCACCATGTAGCTTGACCTTGCAGGTAGGTCAACCATGGGGAGTTTTCCTGTGTGACCCATGATCCCTCATTATCAGACAGACTTTTCATAAAACATACCCACCTATTAGGGTCCCAAAACAGCCTGTCGGAGGGTCCTGGTATATGAGGCGTACTTGATTGCACTTGATCACCAAGCCCCTATTTCACCCAGAGGGACTTATCCCAATTGTCAGATAGTTCTTAGAGCGGAACAGTCTTGAAAATTGTCCATCCCGCAATGCAAATACTTTCGACAAATCCTGCGTATTGCCTATAAAAACAAGCATGGACACCGTGCCAATCCCGGCAGCGCCTAATTAGATGTTTTTTTGTCACCGCATAGTCACCATCGTGACATGGCCAATTCCTACTTCCCTTTGCAACTTCGCTTGTGTACATAGAGCGTAGTGGATCGTTCCATTTTGTACGGAATTGAACCTCCGGAGCTGAAGGGTCGTTGGAAGCGTGCAGACAGAGTCCACCCTTTTCCTTTCTCCAACAAAAAAAATGTGTTTTTTTTGCCAAGTGAAGCTGGTTTGGAGATGACGACCGGAGCCCCATCCTTGACACAAAAACCCCTGAGACCGTCCAAACGTCACTAGCAACCGAGATCTGGCAGAAGAGGCCCACTGGAGCTCAGGCACGGGTCACAAACAGAGAGAAAGGCTTCCTGAAGCCCAGATGAAAAGCTAGGCAAGTCGAAAGAAGGGGTACGACTATCGACATAGTGCGACTCCACGTTCGTTTCCTCTTCCAGGTTGGACGTGGTTTTCTTTGACCTCCACGTTTTGGACAACTAGACACAAACGCGGTGGGACGAAGGTGGAAAACTGGAGCGGACCGGTGGTGGTCTGTGGTCCGTCACATTCGGTTTCGGGAAGAACAACGTGTTGTGGAACGTGTGGTGTTCCAACAAACTGCTGGGTCACTTGGTGGAGCCTTTGATTCGAAATGGAATTCTGAAGAGTTCTTGGGAACCAACATAAAGAACTATTTGGGGTGGTGAAGGCTATGCTGCAACTCTTTCTCTTGAGACGACATGCGGACTGGCAGCATGGACACACATGAATCGAAATGAAACCTTGGGATTTCAGCCGGCTTGCGTTGGATGTCATATTCTTGCCGTGGTGCTATGTGTCGGCAATTTCTGCATCGTAAATTGCTGGTGAATCCAGTTGTTTGCTTTGGATGACTCACGGTGAGTCAAAAGGAACCGGCAATGGGGGTTGAATGGGGTTGATGTTGCTGTAGGCTGAAATTTGTGGATCCTGAAACGAGACCCCTTGTACATGGAAGGTAGAACAGAATCAGAGTGAGTGAAGCCCCTGCGCAAAACGAGACCTTTCTGGGGCCCCCGACCATCCTTCCAGAGTTTCGAAACAGCATGGGTTCCAACATGTTCCAACCAACTCGCACAGTGCCCAACAAAAATCACCAGGAAAACCCGTGTTGCAGAACATCGTCCCGGCTGATGATCCAAAGGACAACCATCCGGCTCCGTTGGAAGCCGACCGATAAACACCTTTACTTGCCTCGATGCACTGTGGCGAATCGATCGAATCGTTCACCCCACGTTTTTGTCCGGAAAGGTTTCAGCTCCACAGCGCCCCAAAATGGCCATTCTGTTGGAAGCTTTCTTTGTGTAACGAAATGGGCATCGTTTCACTCACCGGAGATGTTTCTTTTCATTTGTTGGAGAAAGACCCTTTGGCTCCCGACCGCTTCGACGGATCGTGGACGACCGCTTCGACTGCTCCCGACCCGATCCGATCGTACTGGTCGCGACAGGGGGGCGCCTGGGTGGCTTTCATCAGTTAGCCTTGACGGAGGATGCAAGGCCACTCGCGACCGTCGCACCAGGTTGCGATGCCAACAAAGCCGCCGTTGGCCGCAGGTGGTTGGGGGGGGACTCCCAGAGACTTGAGGCAGTCCGACTACACGAAGCCAAGCGAAAGAGGGCGAAAGGAAGGAATACTAACCGTTCCTGTTGCGCTGGCGCAAAGCCCAAGTCTGGGAGGTCGTCATGACAAATATTTTTCACGGCATTCCCTACATGGTGCAGGATGGACGGTCAGGGACTCTTCATCAATACTTCGTAGAATCCACACCGAGCAGGAGCCAGTCGGACGTGTTTTTCCAAGGCCAAGTGAAAAGAGTTCAGTTCCTGGTTGCGGATCATCATTGTGTGACCCAACTACTTGGGTGTCCATCACCAAAGCAGGCAAGAAACCAGTTGTTTTATGTTGGTTTTACTTTACGGCTGAGAGTCTTTGGCATCATCCACAAAAATCCTTCAATCCAAGGTCTTGCTATCCAGGCACCGTCTTTGTGTTTGGAGTTGCGTGGGTCTGCGTGGGTGGGTCGAGCATGAGGGAATGCCCGCATCAAAGAGGCACAGTGATATTCCTCCTCAAGTACAGTTCTGTGGTGTGCCGCTGCTGCTCATGCCTAGGCCTAGAGCATGCCTAGCCCAGAACGGCTTTTGCTTTGTTATTTTTTAAGAGTATAACTTTGACATGTTAGATTTACGCAGGATGGGCGTTGTGATGAGTGGAACACTTAGGTGGCAAAATTTCGGGATGAACACGAACACTCATGTAAATCCCAAGTAATCTTTCTGAGTTCACCCTCTTCCATCACCACCACGACGGAAAGCTCGTCCAGGAACCCTTCGGAGCCCTTGCCAGCTGCGTCGCTCGTGAAGCCGCTGGGAGTTCGGACGTGATCGGATCACTGATTGGGCCCCCCAAATAGATGGACTCTTAGATCCCTCACAAAACATGTATTGGACACCGTGCCACTATCTATTTGGGGATCTATCACTATGTTTATTGGGAGGAATTCACCTTCAACGAGGGCTGCAAGCTAGAAAAGGTGGCTGAGGAAATACGGCTCCTGTCTTTTTCGAAGGACACGCTGAAAACCGGCCTGGCGGCGGGCAACATTTTTCATGACCTCGAATGATTTCTATGCGGTTCAGACCTGAAATCTGACTGTTCAGTGCACAGTGCATGGACACAGGCTGACTTGAGGAACTTAATTATAGAATAGTATCTTTTTTTGGGGGTGCTGGGCGTTCGCGTGATCTTAACTCCTACTCTGCCAGGCCCTGCCCCAAAATAGGAGCTGTTCTTGTCTTGTGATAACTCATCCGCTGGATTTCATCACTGAGTATCAAGAGCTGCAAGATCATCTTCCCGCCCCACAAGTCTTCCCATGTTTCCGTTGACAGAAACTCAACTGACCGGGTCCAACGACAGGACCTACACATGCATGATCTACACGCAAGCTCAGAGATGACAATGCAAAATGGAGTCACCCACATACAAGTGAAGAGACTCATGAAAGGCATTTGTAGCCTTGCATAGACTGGACTAGTGACCATGAAAGGCATATTTCTGAAGCAAGAGGAGCAGGGGAGGTGGCCGCCTTCGGTGGACGATTTGGCCTTTGGTCCACCGGAGGTGGTGATACGATTCGACACCGGTCGAGACCTCGGCCGACGCGGAGAACAATCCGATCCACGCCGACGTGGGCTCACGTCGGCCGCGGCGCGCCGGATGAGGCAGGGGGAGCAAAGTCTCCGTGAGATGAAGGTTAAGGAGAGAAAGCATGCCGTTGGTCCTTGGTCGACGTGCCATTTCACGAGGGGTCATCATGGGGAGGAAGGGCTACTTACTTATAGAGATGTTATAGTCATAGTCATATAGTATTTTTTGGTTTGAGGGTTTGTTTTAGAAGACTGGTCCTGGGGAACGAGCAAACAAGCTGGGCGTTGGTTGATACGAAATCTCTTTTGAGTAGCTCTGATGGGGAGGTCATCTGTTACGACAACAAAGATCCCAGGAGGGACAGTCATGGACTGTTCACCAATACTTTGTAGAGTCCACACTTATCCTGTCGAAGTTAATATTTTTCAATGCCAAGTGAAAAGAAACAGAGTTCTTGGTTGCGGATCATCGTTGTGTGACCCAACTACTTGTTGTCAATCTTGGTGATTTGCCACACTTCGACATTGGTTTTCAGTTAACTCAATTGCCACGATGAGAAGGAAGGTGAGGGAACCGCAAGGTGGAAAGGGTCGGCGCAACTGAAATTGTTTAACAAACTGTTTACTCATCTGCAGAACGCGCCCCTGCCTCTTTTTTCTGCGTTGAGAAACTAATAGGTTAGTAGTGATACCAGGAGCCCTTAGTAGCGTGTAAACCACCATGGAAGCAAACCAAGGAAGATTAGGGTCACAGCGTGGTCAACAGCTTGGAACAGGTACACAGTGGGGCGTCCCCCACTGCATCAGCACCTACTGGCATCCTCTTCGTTGGACGGGAAATGCCAGTGGTGTCCCGTCCTCCTGCTGGAAACGCGAGAACCCTTCGGAACAGGGCTGGACACACACACACACACAGAGAGGTTCAAAACTGTAGTTGGTACAATTTGGTACATGGGTTTCACATGGGGTGCCCCCCATGAGCGTCGCGCGTCACCAACTGAAACGAACGAAGGAAGGTCGTCGTTTTGCTGTGAAGTCTCGTTGAGCAGAAAGCAGGGTGTTCAGTGACTCGCATCCCAGACACTCCATGATGTATGGAATATCTACCTACATTGACCCCTTTTCAAGCACCCCAACTGATCGGCCAGTACGCCAGTCCCATGTGTTGTGTTTGGGCATGGGATTCAGGTGGACCTTGGGCTGAACCGAATTCGGTGAGATGGATCCGGAGTCTGGTGAACATGGTGGTTTGAAGTCTGTTCCAGGCCAGTCCCCTGGAGCAGCGACATGGAGCCTCCTTTTTCGACCGAGTTGGTGGTCCAAACGGGGCAACACACCGAAGATGACTCCCATCCTCGGAATTGGTGAAACTGTCTCGTTGTCGAAGCCTCTCGTGGTCGAAGCTGCCTCCCGTCCCTTTTTCCGGTGAGGAGATGGTCTTGGCTTGGATTGTCGCTGCTCCGTCCGCACAGTCGGTGACGACTTCACCGGTCGGATCACCTCGGCCGTCGGGCTGAGTCGGGTCGAGTCATCGAAAAACAGCTGGGGGTGTAGCACCGGGAATGACGGGAATGGTCAAGAACTGAGTGGTAAAGAACCTCCAGAACCTCCACTTGGATTCTTTTTGGTTGACTCCACGACACTGAGACCAAGATTCACCCTGCAGAATGAATTTGGCGCACAACACCCGCAAGTAGTCTGCTCCACATAGGCAGCACACTCACATACTGTACCAGATTACCAGGCTTCCCCAGACACGTCCACAAGCCAGTTTTGGGGAGACCACGATCAGAACTCGACCATGCACCTACCTCAAGAGGGTGTCCTCCTGTTTCAAGACGCACTTCGTGTCACCTCCCGTCTTGCCCCTCTTCGCTCAGGTTGCCACACTTCTGACCTTAGTCCTGCTCTTTTGCTGCAAAGTGCCTCCGCTGGTGTCTCTGGGCCCTCGCAAGTGACCGGTTCTCGGCCGGTGGAGGTTCGCCTGAGGCGGTGGCACGGGAAGTTCTGGGCAGAACGGCCAAGGATTCGGATTTCGGGGTGGTCAACGGCGAAGTGGTTGAGACATGTTGAGATGTTGGGAAGTTCCCCCAAAAGGAAACAGTAGCCGCTACCATAGCGGCTATAGCATTCTGGTTAGGGTGCGGGTCCCAACAGTTAGGCCACAATCATGACCAATCATGCCCAAGAGTCTCAGGTATTGATCTGTGTATTTCGGTCATTTCGGCAAGAGATTCTCCCAAGTCCTTGAGTCTTAAAGACTCCCAGTCCGCCAAACCTCTTAACATCCTCCCGACAAATGGGGAGGTTGGACTCCACAGCTCCCATCAGTAGGCAGTTGTCAGGTCCCACCTTTCCAAAACGGAAGGCAGTAGACAGTTCAACCGGGGTTTCACCAAATCACTTTCCTCAGAGTCTTTGGGCAAGAGAGACTCAGATCAACCCATCGACCGTTGTGCGCCTCTGTGCGCCTCAAGACTCGTTTCAATCCACCGTGCAACGGTGGCTCTTTCACCGTGCAACGGTGAACACGACCGGACGACCGAAGAACATGAAGATTGTTTCTCGACCTTGGGCGAGCGACCTCGGATCCGTACGGAGTGGTCGTAAAAGCGAGAGGTCCCCCTCAAAAGCGATTTTTCAGAACGCTGAATTATGGCCTCTACTTCTTCCGTTTTGGCAGACGCTGAAGTTGAACGTGACTCACAGATCTTCAGATGAATCCCTCAGACAAAAGTTCAGGCTGCGCTGCAGAATGAGCATCCTGGAGAGAAGGGTCTGTTTCAATGGTTCTTTGAGATCAACAGATCAGGAGATCGAATGAAGAAGGTTCTGTGGTTCAGTCACCTATCTTGCCGCAAAGACACAGATTTCGATCGAGTCACCTTTCACTTCTGGAAGGTTTTCCGGAAAACAGCAAGAGATCTCAGGAGTCTCAGGTTTTTTGGACTGATGCCCTCCACCCCAACAGACGGTGGACCCTTCATCTGGGAAACCAGGTGTCTTCTGCCGCCGTCGGGCCGTGCGCTTCGGTCGTCGAGCTCACCGCGTTCTGCCGGCGTTTAGACATGGCCGGCATGGATGGTCAAGACACGGTGGATTTGCCCGGCATAGTTGATTTTTGGTAGGTTCCGTAGGTTCCGCCTATGAAGCCTACAGGTTTAGTTGGTCGAATGACTCTATGTTCATCCTTAATCAACCAGATTCAACTAGAGATTTCAGAACATCTGACCATCCAGATATCCTGCTGTTGTTTTCGCGGCTGTGAGGACTGGGCCACAACGGGGTTTGGCACTTGAAGCGCGTGATTGTTTTCTTTTTTACTATTTTGTTCCCTCTGATTGTCGTGATTCAGATGGAGGTATTGACCAACCACACGCGCAAAATTACAGGGCAGTTCTGAAGGACTGATGAAGACCCAGCTGGGGGCTTCGAAACACACCCACTTGTTGATCGACAAATGGTGATGTCAATACCTTCCATCTCATTGTGCCAGCAACTGCAGTTGTGTAGTAGCGATGTTGGGAGTGAACCTCAATCCCAGAATAGGTACTGTAAAGTGACAACCAACCTGTAAAATCCCAATCTTGAGGATTCCCTTTACTGCATACACGAACTCTGCCTGACTCTCGTTTTGGCCCCACGCTTTACAAGATGACCAGCTGCTTTGACTTGTCCACGTTTGATCAGCATGGCGTAGGGTGATGCACCTTGGGGCCACATGTCTCGTTCAAGTCGGGCGAGCCCCGGGAAAGACTCCATGTGGCGGGTGGACCTTGGGACGTCTTCATGGCGGGCGACGGACTTCTTCTGTTGACAGGAATCAGCCTTGATGAATGACTTCTGTTGTGTGACAGCGTGGGAGATTCGACGACTCCCGGACTTTTGGTATCATTTTTTCCCGGAAAAAAAAACACATGTTTTCACTGTTTCGGAGCCTCCCAACCCAAAAAACCGCCAAACGAACGAGCCTCCAAAGAGTCGTAAACTCTGATTTCGGATCTGTGGAACCGGCCTGAAATCGTAGTAAGAAGTGCCTCGCTTCTAGTAACAAGTGCCATACTAGTAGTAAGTTAAACATGAAATTAAAAATAATAGCTTCTTAATTACTACTAGAATCCTATCGCTTTTTCGTTTTGAATGGTATCGGGGTTGCCCCGTTCGTTCGGTCGTCTGGGCCCATCGACCGATCGACCCCATTCCCGTTCGGTGGGACATCACTCGGTGGGGACACTCCACTCGGTGGGATCCTGCCCCACATGCGAAGACGGACAGGTTTGTGCAGAGACTGGAGAGGACTGCCTTGTGACACCTGAAAAGACATCTGTGTTCTGTAGAAGGGTCGATATCCCTTCAAACATATATTGGACTTCATTTTGATCTATTTGCTATAGAAGAGTGTCCTTTCAAACATGTATTGGACATATTGGACATCGTCTCTTTCTCCAACGTCTCAAACTGGCAATTGGAGAGGCAGTCTCGCCATGCCTTACCCCGGATTTCAGGGCTCTACCAATCCTCGGCCCGGCCGTTTAGCTTCTCTAGTTCCATCGGACCGGTGTCAGGGTCGAAAACGTGTGCATTGTGCACTGCACGACGTGGATAGGTTTGGTGTGTGGGTCCAACAAATGTTCTGTGGGTGCCCTGAACAACAAAACCCTTACTGTTTGTTGGGTTTGCTTGCAAACCTCGTGTTTCACTACTTCCATGCTCCAAACTCAGGGTTTCCATTACAAACCTCGGGTTTCCCAAGAAACGCATAGAAAAGCTCTTTTTCTCAGTATAGCCAAGAGTTTTGATCGAACTATTCTCAAAATCATTGGAGAAAGCGGGGTCAAGCTTTTCTAGAAGACCGAACCCGTGATGGACATGTGATGTACCCGTGACCACCCATGCTTTCCCGATCGAACCCCTGGGTTTGAGATCCGGGTTTCCCCCGAAAAAGGCCGACCACCCGTTTTATCTTGCGTTGTGATGGACCCGTTTTGTCTGTGGAAACCCCTGACAAGCCGTGAAAGAAAGACATGGGTTTTGAACCGTCACTGATCTCACTGGTCCAGCCATGGTCCAGTATGTTTTTTTCTGGTTGCCAAGAACCAAAGCCCCGGGGGCAAACCCTGGTTTTGAACTCGGGTCTGGTTGGTGAAGGTGAGGTGAACACACAGATCTTTTTTGAACTGATATCATGACAGGGGGTATCTATACCAAGTTTCTGAAGGGCCACTATGTGAGAAACTTTGCTGGATGGTTTGGACTACTGACAGACGTGACAGACGTTTTCAATCGGTTGGGCTTTTCGGGCAGTCTAAACCCCACGACCCTGTAGAGTTTGCTTTTGTTTTCGTTGATGGTTACCCTCCCGGACCCTTCCTCTCCAACAGGGCCCCTACAAAAAAAGCCGTTTTCCTTTAGACGCGGGTCACGTTCAGCTTCCGTTTTACTTTCTCGGTGTACGGTTTTGCTCCAGAGTGGAAGTCCTACTTATGTCCCAGCAGACCACCTTCCGAGACATCTCATTGCAGCCTCAAAAAAAACATAAAAAGAAACACATCCACCTTGGGTTTATGGGTGCAGAGTTCTTGTGTGTTGGGTGAGGTTTCCGGCGCAATTTTTATCCCCAAGACATTTTGCCTTTCCGGACGGAAGTGCTTCTGATGAACGAGGTTACTGGGAGCCGGTCTCAGCTTACAAGATCCACAGAGTAGAGAGAAATTCGCATCACTTTGGAACTTTGGGGCACTTTCACCAGGCTGTGAGCTCTAAGCTGCAGCCCTCGTTCAAACTAGCTGCGTTTCCCAGCCATGTCTCCCGAGCCACACGGTCCACTGGAACCTGGCCTTTGCACCCGCAAAGCGGTTTTTCGGGGCCTCCCGCAGCGCGTTTCGGTGGCGCCCGTGAGGCCTCACGGCCATCTTTGCCCGGTGAGGTGGGGATGAGTTGGGCCGCCGCGATCCTTGCGACGGTCGAATCGTCCTGTCTGTGGGTTGGAATGGGTCTGTGAGCGAGGTCGGTCTTTGTGAACATGAAAGCGACTCGGGTGTAATGTTCGCTGGTTGACCAAGGAGTGATTTGGTGCCATGGACTTTTGGGAGAGCAGAAAAAGGGTAGACGTGAAACCCGTCCAGTAATGTTTTCCATCTTCACCTTTGGGAGCCACTCAGATGTTTCAGGGTTCGAAACGAGGTGGGGGGTGGAAGGCCCAGGCCATCATTTGGGTCATGTTGCCCAGGTCACAACCTCCCGAGGGTACGGGGACGGTTGTTACCGAGGGGATTTGGTCGAGTTTGGGGGGTTCATCCTGTTTCAGCACGAGTTGAAGAAGGGTATTTGGGGGCCTCTCAGACATGTCAAATAAACGCACATGTTTTTGAGGGCCCAGTTGATCTGTTGTCTGGAACGATGTCTTTCTCGGCTTCCCATTTTCAGCTTCGAGCTTCGAGGAAAAGCTACTCACTTGAGGTTTAGGGTGAAGTGAGCCACTCCCCAGACAGAAACGGAATGCGGGTGGACAGGCAGAGCGTTCGTTGGTCGTTTCGTTGCGGTCTCCTGAACTGAATCCGGGAATCGATTGTTGCATTTGGGGTTGGCCATCTTGGATCCTTGTGACCCAAGGGTGTGCTTTTCTGCCCAAAAAGACAAGGTCCAGGGTTAGCCCTAATTTTCTGGGGTGGATGAGCACATCTTGCATGTGACCCACCAAAGGGTTTTCTCTGGTTCCACTCTTTGTCATGGTCGAGCTTGGTGGAGAAATGGCTCAGAGACTATGAATACTGCTGCGGATCCACACTCCAAAGAGATGCTCTTTGTTTTCAGGGAACCAGTCATAGAGGTGGACAACAGGAGACATACCAGAGTTGTATCCCGGAGTTGTATACTGTACATATAGCTCCATTAGCTCCATCTTCGAAAGTCTTCCACAAAAACGCGCCTCAGGCTGGAGCACTGCTGAATATCGCCCGTCTGAGTGCTCAGGATGGCCATCCCTAGGAATGACTTGAACAGAAGAGATATGGTAAATCATCCAGGGCTGCATTTTGGGGACACACGCGCTTTCCGCCGAAAAAAGAACAGCAACAACAACAGCGACCGATCTACATGCGCA